GAGTAGTTCTATGAATTCCCGTCAAAAAAGGAAACCCTAAATTTATCGTAAACGGTGCCTTTAAATACTGTAGCTATGAAAGTGTCATTAACAAAAATCCGTAAAGAATTGCTCGTTTTGGTTTTCGTTGAATAAACTACATATAGTGAGCAGTAATCCTCCCGCATCCTTCACACATTTTGTGATTTCTCGTGCAACTGGTTAAAATTCTTTTTTGACTCTATGCGGTTCCCTGTCTACTGGTTGAGGAAAATTGACACTCTCAAGTCTAGTGAAAAAATGTTGACAAACTTGTTGATTTGTTTTCTTTCGGGACTGCCGTGCATGACTTGGAATGTAGTTGACCGTACATATAGGATATGGCTGAATTTTTGGTCCCACTTGAGAACACTGATCACAATGCAGTCCTTTGTATTTGGCTGGACAAATACACGACTGAGACATATTTTTTATATCTGAAAAAAAACTCAAAGCATATATCGGTTGGAAATTATCATAGAACCTCAACGTAAAAAAAATCCAAAAAAATGATCCTTCCTATGCGGAAACAATCGAAAAATATAAAATAACAAAAAATTAAAAGCAAATAATTGCAGTAGTAGTAAAACTAGCTCGACTCGGCAATTATTGATGTAGAAAGATAGAAGAAGTCACTGCCTGGAGTATTCGTTCCGCTTCGAAGTTGAACAGGCCAAAAAATTATTTTGAACTCGTATTTCGTAGCTTGGGGTTTTTACTTGGTCTGGACTTTTGCAGTCAAATAAGTGGAATGAATCCCCCATTACTACTATTTCTCGATTCACAGCCTGCAGTGTACTAACAGACTATCTCACCCTGAGAGATCGCACCGAAACGGATTCTACCGTTTCGTCGATATTTTACACTACGTGTACCGCTGAACGTAGATCTTCTTTAATTCTGTATGTACTGCCCATTCGGAAGAAAGGAATTGGTTGGTGCCGCTTGACGATTCATGCATGGTCTTGGTATCGAATCCCAACTTGGTTACTCCCAAACCAACTAAGCATCTCATCTTTCTAGACCGAATATCTCGTGCTAGAATCGATTGAGGATGCCTAAGCCCAAAACTTTTCATCAACTTGCTTCGAGAATCGGAACGAAACCAATCTGTCATCAGAACATTCAGAACAAAATAAATAGAGCTACATTCTCAGAAGTTTCGACCAGTTGTCTGATTTTTTTCCTTTTTCAATGGACTGTCTANGGTTGGTGCCGCTTGACGATTCATGCATGGTCTTGGTATCGAATCCCAACTTGGTTACTCCCAAACCAACTAAGCATCTCATCGTTCTAGACCGATTAACTCGTGCTAGAATCGATTGAGAGTGCCTAAGCCCAAAACTTTTCATCAACTTGCTTCGAGAATCGGAACGAAACCAATCTGTCATCAGAACATTCAGAACAAAATAAATAGAGCTACATTCTCAGAAGTTTCGACCAGTTGTCTGATTTTTTCCTTTTTCAATGGACTATCTAGTTTCCTTCCACCAAATGGAATTCTGTCAACTACACTAAGGTTAGTGATTTGTCATTTCTCTAGATTATAATCAAAACACTCACTTGGATAACCATGGTAGCAAATAATTCTTTCACAATAATCTCCTTCAAAGTGTTTGTTGCATATGCACCTGAAACAATCCCCAAACTTAGAAGGATGATCGGTGAGGGGAGGCAGGTGATGTGAAAATCGTTGATCTGGGACGAAGGAGGTGTAGCACCTATAGCGTACTGTCGCTCTTCATATGGTCGAAGGTTCGAACCACATATCGATACACCCCACGCCAATCAAGCTCCCCATCAATACGGTGTCGGCTAACTGGTAACTTAACAGCCTGGGAGAATAGGAACACGTACATCGCCTTGCTCCCGCAAGTCATAGTAAAGTTACATACGTATTCCAATGCCACTACGATCCTGAATAGAGGTCAATGCATGGGCGCATCCCAAAAGCGGACTTGACCCATACTGAAAGGCTCTGTACCCCTGAACTATATAGTATGTCCCTGAACAGAAGCCAATTTTGTCATCGTCCCCCAACTATTCGAGAGCAACCCGTGTCCAAGTAAATTGAAACATACCGGCCGTGTTTGATGATCCCGTTGTCACATCGGCTAGTGAACTGGCATTCATCACCGAAAAATGAACCAATGCATTCACATTTGTTATTCTTCCATTCACCTCGGTTACCACACTGTAAAATGAATTACTGTAAATTTTACTTACGTGCAAAAATTAAATAAATAAATATGAAAAACGTGACACAAAATAGGTGCAAGAGCTAAAGTGTAGTTGTCGACGTTCCTCGACACTTGCCCCTTCCCTAATTTTGATCCCATTTCAGGAAAATCAGCCCCTCAATGATCAGTCCATGGCCGATACAACTCCACCCTTGCCATACCTTTGATGGGAGACGATCGATGGCCAATCTTTTAGCCGGTTTCTAATTATTCTTTGCTATTTCTCAGAAAGTAGTTCCTGAGGAAAAAGGAGCTCGAGGAAAAAACCGGCTTTTAGGCTTGAAACTAATTTTTATAGCGAATTCGGCCATCTCTTTGTCCCCGTTCTTTTAAAGCACATAATGTGCACATTACTCATAATCTGGTTCTTAGGTTGTCGCATTACGTACAACTATCCCGTAGGCTACGCCCTCCGTGACAGGGCAGGTGAGCATGGGAAGTCAGGGTTTGTGTGGAAGGAATCATCAATACTGAAGGGACCCAATCATTCGATAACTGTCATGAAATAGGTAAATAACTCTCCCCTTTAACTTCCTGTCGACGATCCTCATTGAAAGACCTCCCGGTTGATCCTGTATACACTAGTAGGAGGATCGCACATATCAAGCTATGCGGAAATCACCGGACCGGCTAGTTCTGGCCCATTTAATGGCTGATTTCTCTGCCCACTCCCTGCTGTCTTTTTTGTCATTACAGATGGTTTCTTATCAAAGACAACACCCAGGTGATCCCTTTTTGTAGGAAATTGATCCAGATATGCCTATACTCCAACTCTTCCTTCTCATCGATGACTGGATGTCAGGATCAAGAGCGTAAAGAGGAGTTCCTACTGGTGAGGATGATCGTGCATTCCCCTTTCTCAACCCTCCATGTTGTCGTTGGAAAATACAGAAAACTTGAACAAACAAACAAACGCACGAAGGGAAAGGGTCGCTTGAAAATCAGTTTTGAGTGGAGAAGAGTCACCTGGAGTCTGCCCTCAAACGTTTCCCTTTACTTGCCCCTTCTAGATACATACTTATTGTAAAGCTATGGCATTTCTCATCAGTGCAAGGCTTACTCAGAACAAAGTTGAATCAAATGATAGTTCAGTACTCTTTCAGTCAGATGATATTCGCATAAATCTCCTTTCCAACCTTCATCACATATACATGGTTTACTGAATATTAGACTGAGCGGATCGTATCGCTGTCCAACAGAAATTCCATGCACTGAAACAGCAAGAGAACAATGACGTACGAAATTTATAGCAGAAATTGAAAGAGAAACGAAATGGTTTGGCCTGGGCAATCAAAAAACGGTAGACTGTAGAAAACTGTAAATTCCATTATTTTTTTGTTGATACCTCACTTGCCACCTTCTAACTTCTCCTCCCGACTTACTATTAGGTTGATGCATAATTATTGCAGATTTTTTCCAGCAAATTTCACCTGAAGAAAGGATGGGAATATTTAGCAAAGACATATTCAAATAATTACTCTGAAACGTATCCACCATCTACGTCAAGCACTGCTTTCCATTTGCTAGGCAACCGGATTCCACAGGCGAAAAAGTTTCGGTCCTTGGAGGCGATCCTCACCTTGACATCGGCCACCAAGTCATCCATTTCATTGTAAGGTCTGTTTGCTAGCCAATCTTTCAACGAACGGATGACGTGATGACTAAGGAGTTTTCGTGGGTCAATGTGGAGATGCAGGAGCAAATCCCAGTCCTCAGTTGGCTTTGGCTGACAATTCCATTGCCAAAAAGTTCGTTGAGATCGCGTAATGAGCGGGCTATCTTCCATCATTTATCGAAGTAATAGAGCATAATGTGGCGAGTAAAATGATGACTTTCTAGACATATTCCTATAGAGGAAAGCGAGTAGATTTTTCCATAAAAATCTCGACTTTGATGTTGAAATTGTATGGAGAGAAAAGGAGATAAAATCCGCAATAGTTGTCACTTCCAGGTTAAGAGGTCCTTCGATTAAAATCAAAAACCCACTGACGCGAACACGGGTTCGCTCCACATATTTCTCCTCACGAGTTGTACCTCTTTTAAACAAAAAGTTACGTGATG